TTTTTTTTTTTTTTTTTTTTACTTTAGTTTTCAGGGACGCTGAATTAAAATGTAGGCATGCTTGAGCACCCCCAGAAAGAGGCTAAAACAGGTTTTCACATTAAAACTACTGTAAACACAACAATACAGTGCTGTAACTCTGCAGTGCATTCTGGGAAAGTTTTAATGTCACATTAATGCTGGCCTACAGTAAAAAGAAACAGATGTCCTCCATCTTGGTCCACAGTCGGTTTACTGTATTTTAACATTTTCTTCTGACCATACACATTTAAATGATTATATGTACATTTTAATGTTCGCTAGCCCTTAGCTTATTGATGTTGCTCTGCTGTTTAGCTTTTAGCCAGTCTTCGGCTTATAAAGTGTTGTGCTCGCACTGTTTTCACAAAAAATTTAGTTCTCTGGTTGCATTTCAGATATTAATTCCTGCACCCTGTCGCTCCCATATCTGTTATTAGTGTGTGGGTGTGTGTGTGTGTGTGTGTCATCCCTCTGGGTTTCCTCAGAGAAGATGCCACCTGACAGCAGAGGTAAACATCTCTTCATCGCTCTCCTCCGTGACCATATAAGGCCGGTTCCTGTGCAGATGAAATTATAAACATCTATACGAGTGAAACAGGAAATGATCACACAGACCTTTGAGTTGTGAATAGAAGCAAAGTGGAACAGAACTGTCCTGTTGTTGCACTTAATAAAATGTTCCTCACTGCATGACAAAACTGTAAATGTTCAACAAGTTCATCTTTAACACTGACGTCAGAATAAAATGTTTATTTAGGCTCAGGATGAAAACCACATTAATCACAGCTCGCAGCTGAAACTGAGCTGTTCAAGATAAAACAAGCACACGTCAGCAAAATGGTATAAACAAGCAAAAGTGGAAAAACTTAAAAGATGAAAAGACCAAAAAAAAAAAAAGATTCGTAAAATGTCAACTCTCTCTATATAATTGTGACAAACAAATAAATAAAAACACATCAATCAATTTGCCCTAACATTTTGTTAGCCAGTTCACCTCTTCGTTAACTTACAGCCGCTGATTTAGTTCTCCTCAAAATTAAATGTTTCAAACATTTACAGTGAGTTGTTGGAACAAATTTTAAACGAGAAATGAGGTAATGCAGTGCGAATGCTTATTGCTGAAGAACTTGCTGAAAAGCAGCTGAAATTAGCTAAAAAAAACATGCTGAAATTTAGCTTAAACGGAAAAAGAAGCCTAAGAAAGCAAAAAGAACACGTATTTATTTACAAAAACTAGGAAATTGGCTAAAAAAAATGAAATTCGCAAGAAATAGCTGAAAAGGCAGAAAGAAGCTTAAACTACCAGAAGGAAGTGGACAGAGCTGAAAAGAGCTCCAAAAAAAGTGGAATTAGATGAAAAAGCTCAATAAAAAACAGCTAAAAAGGAGCTGAAATAGCAGAAAAAGATGAAACTAGTATAAATAAACTGAAAGGAGCACAACAAGCTGAAATAATCAGACATAATTTGATTAAAGTAGCAGAAATTACCACAAAAGACTTGAAATCTGAAAACAGCTGAAATTAGCTAAAAATGCTAAAAGGGTAGCTGAAATGGAATTGAGTTTAAGATGGTGTACCGTACAAAATGCTATTGCAATAGTCGATTCTGGATGTGACAAAGGCATGGATTAGGATTTCAGCAGTGGAGAAAGTGAGTGATGGGCAGAGTCGTGCTATGTTTTTGAGATGGAAGTTATCTGTTTGCATCAAGTGTTTACGTTTGTAGGTAAATATAGATATTTAACAACCCGTTAAAATACACCAGAATGCAGGAAATGGCATCTACTTTGGCAAAAGGGCCTTCTCCTACTCCGCTCCCGTTTCCTGGAATATCTTGCAAAAAGATCTGAAGCTCTCGACCTTGAACTCTCTAAGTGGCTTTAAGTTCCTGGGAAAAACCAATGCAGACATGTTCCTGTTTTTAGTTTTCTACACTGCCCTACATTCTAGCTGGTTTTTTTTTTGTTTGTTTGTTTTTTTTGTTTTGTTACATTTTCCTTTAAATACCATTTTATTTTCACTTGTTAAAAAAAAAAATCTCAATTTGTATGCATCCTTCATGATCGTTTATTATTGTCTTTGTCGTCTACGGTAGTCATCACTCTTTGTTAAAGAAATCAGGCCTCTCTTGTAAATAAGTCCCCGAGGCTCAATGGGATTAACCTGTATAAATAAAGGTTGAATGAATGAATTAATTAACTTTATTCAAAATTTTCTTGGGGAGGACCCCCAGACACCCCCACCAGTGTCCCCCCATACACACACACTTTTTCATTAATTCAACCTTTATTTAAACAGGTTAATCCCATTGAGCCCCGAGGACTCATTTACAAGAGAGACCTGATTTCAACAAAGAATGTTGACGATAATGGACAACAGCGCCAACAATAAACAATTATAAAAGAGGCATGCAGACTTTTTTTTTTTTTTTACAAATTAAAATAAGATGGCACATTATGAATGCATCTCACGGCAATGCCCACCACATTGTTCAAGCCAAGAGCCATTGTCAACACTGGGTGCTAAGCACCCCTAAAGTTCAGATTCTAGTGTCGCCCCTGGCCGCTTTAAAACCAATACAATGTTGTAATTCCACCACCTGACCGCTGGGTGTCGCTGTGGGCTCTGTGAACTTAAAACAACTGCCTCTTTCCTGTCTGTAGAGGAGTTCAGTCAGACTTAAAGTGTAATTTATGCTGGTAAGTGCCATAAATAAAAATAATAATCTGTCATGTGGTTTATGGGGAGTTGCTTCCTCTCCGTAATCTATAAGTAGACTTTGATCCGTAGAAGAAGAAAAGCAGAAATCTGTCTGCAGTCTGCTAGCTGTCACACGAAACCTGCTGTTTCCTTTATCGGACGACAGCGCAGAGAAAGGTTTTGCTTCGCGTTAGCTTGACCTTTAAACGGTTTGTAATGCTGTAGTTTAATTCATACTGATTTATAGAAACCTATAAGTTATTTAGACGTTTTTGTGCCTCTGAAATGTGTCGACATGGAGTTGGAGTTAGCAGCTTTTAGCTAGCTGTTAGCGGTTTGTGTCGATAATAATTTCCTGTTGTGCAGCTGAGATTTCATTTTCACTTCCGTGTGTTACTTTCCTTTTTCTAGAGTTTAATCATGAAGAAAGAAGCAGTGCAGACGGCAGCCAAAGAGTTTGTGCAGTTCGTCAACAGAGGAGTGTCTCCATATCATGGTAAAATCTGGAAAAACTTTCCAAAACAATATATATATATATATATATATTATTATTATTAACCCTGATGCATCCTGTTTAGTTCAGATCTGAGATGTGTAAATTGACCTTTTTTTTTAAGATTTTGTTTTGCTCATTTTGAATTTAATGACATGAATTCAAATATGTGAGAGCTAATCAAACAGAAGATTAACAATAAAGTCAAGAATGAACCTTAAAGAAGAAACGACACTATCTTAAATCTGAGACTTTACCCCTAAATCCAGCTACGTAAGATAACAGGTTAACTCTGACTCTAAGTTCAGGTTTTGTTTGATAAGAAACCTGTAAAAGTTTTCTCTCAGAGGACATCGATGAGCGTCTGGCTGCAGTTGGACAGGGACAAGCTCAAGATAAGATAAATGTTGGACAGATATTTCACAATGTCTCCAGGTTCTTCACTCCCTAAAGTCTTTTTCTAACCAAAAAAAATTAGTGTAAAACTCATAAAAATGTCATTTTTTAGGATGTGGACATACTTCACCTGTGAACAGCGGCAATAAAAGTTTAAAAATTTTCCCACAGTTTTTACATTCACAAAGTTTGTGTAGGGGGAAAAAGTGTGTCCGATGTTTTAAAATTGTCTTTTAAGTTGCTGAAAACCTCCATTTTTATTTTGTTCAGAAATAAAAACGTTACAGGTTTATGACACACTGTCCAGAAAAAATGTATTTTAAGAATAAAGTGTTCATAAAATTGACCTAAAAATGACATTTTCAAACTTTTTACAAAGCTACGACGAGTGCTAATTTTGTAACTGCTAATGCTAATTCTGCTTATGCTTATTTTGGATATTTTTTTACTTTAAACTATTACGGTAGTTAGGGTTTGGTATTTTTAACTGTTACTAGTTACTACTTTCATACTAATGATGATGATGCTAATGATTTGCTAGTTTACACTGTCATTACTTTATGCTGTTAGCTTTCATTTTGTAATTTAAGCTTTTTTGTTTAGCATTTTGCTACTGTTCATTAGTGAATTTCTACTACTAGTTTGTGTTTGGCTACTTTTTTGTAGCTTCCTGGTAGCTTTCTGTCACTTTTAGCTTGTAGCTAGTGTTCTGCAACCTTTGCCTTTTAGCTCAGTTTCATCATCTTCAGCAAACCTTGCCCAAGTCATCCAGCTCTAAGTTTGACATTTTGGCTATCGCTGATACAATATTGGGAGGGGAAGGTTAATGCTGATAACGAATATATTGGTTGAAAACTTTTTAGCTTTGTCCACCCCCCAAGAATTTAATAAACAACTACTTTTAAACCCGTTTTAATCCTTAAAGTCTTGAAACGGTCTTCTTAATGTGCGTTCACATTTACGTTTTTTAAATGTATTTATTTTTTGTAGAGAAGGAAAGATTTCAGACAAACAATGCATTTCATTGAGGACGACAAACTGATATATTTTACCTCTACGTTAGATTTATTGTTCTGGATAAAATTTTAAGCCAGGTTATGTAAACGTTAGCTTGCTAACTTGAAAGACACGTAGCTGATGACATTCAAGTTGGAGGATTGAAGCTAATTTATTATTGTTTATCTTTTTGATTTTACAGATCAGTTACAATAAACTTGCCATTCTCTGTTCGACAAAATATGCTACACTGTGTTGCTAGCTGCTTCAACTGTGCTGAAAGTGAAACTTAAGTGAATGGCCATGACTTGAAAGCAGTCTTCATGCGCCCTCTGCTGGATGCATTGTACAATTACGGCTGGTCCCAGCCTTTTAGGGTTGAAAACTAGAAGTGCTTATATTGACGCATAATGGGACAATTACCAATATCGATGGGTCCCCAAATGCCTTTATTGGCCTATAATATTGGTCTTACCGATATATCGGTCGAGGTCTACTCTGGGTAATAATTCCTTCTTCTCGTTCAGTGGTTGAAGAATGTCGGCGGCGTCTGTTGGAGGCTGGATTCAACGAGCTGAAGGAAACAGAGCAGTGGGACATTAAGCCAGCCAGCAAGGTGGGTCAGGGTCAAAGATCAGAGGTTGATGTTCTCTAACAAATCATTATTGTTTAAAATGAACAAGCTTCCTTTCTGCAGTACTTTGTGACCAGGAACTTCTCCAGCATCATCGCCTTTGCAGTGGGCGGGCGTTACCTGCCAGGAAACGGTTTCTCTATGATCGGAGCGCACACCGACAGCCCCTGCCTTAAGGTAAAGCCCCGCCCACTCCCACATGTCACTCACAGAGAGCTGTTCTTTTAGTTGAACTTTGGCCAGGATTGTCCCAACAAGTCTTCTTGCAGAATATCCAGGCCAAGATGGCGGCTTACTTACAAGTTTAGACCATCAGTGTGAAAGAAAACTAAACAGCAGCAAGACTGCTGAAGGAGCTGGAACTAATTTGTTACAGCTACATGAGCTAAAAGCTAAAATGACCTGAAAGCTAGCTAAAAGATGTTAAATGTTAGCTAAAAGGAGCCAAATACTAACTATGACTAGCAAAATGTTGGCTAAATGTAACAAAGCAATGGCTTAATGTTAAAATTAACAAAATGCTAGCTAAAAGGTAAACTAGTAAAAGACTAAAGTAGTAGCTAAAGGCAGCTAAAAGCTAAAAACAATCAGAATATAAAAATAGCGCCAGTAGCTGAAGCAAAAAATGCATTTTTTAATTAATAAATCTGTTTGTATTTTTATGAGGATTTTTTTTGTAAATAAAGTAAAATATTTTGAATAAATAACTTTTAAGAACACGTCATTGCGCCCATCTTAATAAGCTAAACATTTTCACATTTGAATGATTAAAATAGCAAAAGGTATGCAGAAGTAGTTGAATAATCATTTTTTACCTACAGTAATATATTTTTTTATACTACAGTTGAGTCGTTCATTCATTCAACCTTTATTTATACAGGTTAGTCTCATTGAGTCACGAGGACTCATTTACAAGAGAGACCAGTTTTGGATAAATAACACAGATGAGGTACAGGTCAACAATAAACAGCCATAAAATGCATATAAAATAAAACGTAAAAAGTAGCGATACAAAACAAAATAAAATCAAGCTACATTATGAAACAAGGTAAAATACTCTGAACAAGAACATGTTTGCATTAAGTTTTGCATTGAATTGACCAATTATTTAAAATCCCTTAGAGAGGTCAAAGTGGATAGCTTCAATAGAAGCATATATAAAGAGTATTGGTCCGAGTACTAAACCCTGAGGAACTCCATGACTAACTTTGATGTAAAATGAGTCATTATTTACATTTACAAACTGATGATGAGGTCAGGCAGGAATCCCCGTGGACTATGATGTTTGCAGATGACATTGTGATCTGTGGTGAGAACAGGGAACAGGTGGAAGAGAACTTGGAGAGGTGGAGGTTGTAAGACAGAGTACATGTGTGTGAATGAGAGGGAGGCCGGTGGAACAGTGAGACTACAAGGAGCAGAGGTCACAAAGGTGCTGGACTTCAAGTTCTTGGAGTCCACTGTCCATGAAACTGGAGAATGTAGTAAAGGGGTGGAAAAGAGAGTCCAGGCAGGATGGAGTGGACGGAGAAAAGTTTCAGGAGTGATTTGTGACATAAGGGTGTCAGCATAGATCACCCTTTCATTTGAAATACGGATGCTGTATTGTTTGTTTCTGACCAGATTATTTTGGGTTTGCTCTCTCAGGTGAAGCCGAGGTCAAAGAGGACGAAGCAGGGCTGTTTGCAGGTTGGGGTGGAGTGCTACGGCGGCGGCATCTGGAACACCTGGTTTGACCGAGACCTGACCATCGCCGGCCGGGTCATCGTCAAGGTACCAGGTTTATTACTGGGTGATGCTGAGAGAAAAAATGTATTTTTTATGTGTATCTGGCAGATAAAATGTGGGTGAAAGTGTAGTTTTTGATCCTAGACTGACTAAAGATAAACGTTTGTAATATTTAGTTGATAGTCGACAGTTTCCTACCCTGGATGTGAAGAGAAGCATGTTTGTTTTTGTTGAAGGACGTCCTTTTCAACGTGTAAACGAACATCTTGTCTCTGCAGAGCGGCGAGAAGCTCGTCCAGCGGCTCGTCCACGTTCCCAGGCCTCTGCTCAGGATCCCTCACCTCGCCATCCACCTGCAGCGAGATGTCAACGACTCCTTCGGTCCAAATAAGGAGAACCATCTGTAAGTCGCAGTGAAACATTTTGAACACATTTAATAATGACGGGTAAAACAAGCTGCAAGTTTTCACAAATACTACAGAGTGTACTTTATTATATGATACTCTGGACAATAATACCCTGTTGTCACAACTTTAGCAGGATGTTGGTATCAAAGGTACAGTTTTATCCTGGTTTAGGTTCTACCTGACCAACAAGAGTTTTTCTGTTTATTGGGGGGAATTCTTCTATTCTGCAGATCTAATGACTTGTGGGGTCCCTCAAGGATGTACCTTCGGTCCTTGTATTTTGTTGTGTTGCCTATGGGGTCCATTTTCAAGAAACATAACTTATTTCACTTCTTTACAGATGATATCCAGGTTTATTTGCTCGTTAAGCTAGAGAGTGTCCACTTGAATCACTCAAACTGCCTGAATGGCATTAAAGCCTGGTTAAAATTACGTATTTTTAATGTTAATGGAAATGAAGTTGAACTCGTCAGCTTTGGTAAATGTGATACTTTTGACAATCTTGGCCCCTTGTCTTCATTTAGTCACTCTGCTGTCAGGAATCTGAGTGTTTTGTTATTATTTGTTTTATAATGCTTTAAAATCAGATAAACAGAATAACACAGTTGTGATTTATTTATTTTTTCCAATTAAGACTTATCGCCAAGGTGAAGTCACATCTCCCTACCTAAGACCGTCAAAAATGTGATTTGTGCTTTTATTGCTGTTTATTTATTGTCGCGAAAAGGTGAATTGTCCTCTCCGGGTTGTAGATGAGGTGCTGGCTCAAGTGGAGGAGTTCAGGTATTTCAGGATTTTGTTCACAAGTGAGGGGAGAATGGAGCGTGAGATCAATAGATGGGTTGATATAACTGGCAGTATTGCGTACTCTGTGCTGGTCTGTTGTGGTGAAGACGGAGCTGAGCTGTAAGGCAAAGCTCTCCGTTTACTGGTCAGTCTACGATCCTACCTCACCTATGGTCATGAACTCTGGGTAGTGACCAAAAGAATGAGATCATGGATACAGGCCCAGAAGAGACTCGGCGTAGAGGCGCTGCTCCTCCACATCGAGAGGAGCCAGTTGAGGTGGTTCGGGCACATGGTGCTCCCTGGAAGTCTCTCTAAGGAAGGGATGTGGTCATGTCAAACTGGGAGGAGACCCCAGGGGAAACCCAGGACACGCTGGAGAGAGCAGAAGCTGCTCACCTGTGTGTTTCTGTTTCCGTCAGAGTTCCAATCATTGCCACCGCCGCTCAGGAGGAGCTGGAGGCGGGCTCTTCTTCATCTGGAGACGCTTCCTCCGCCTCCAACACGGTAACGAAACAAAACCATCACGTGTTGTCAGTGGAAACAGCTTCTTTTTTTTTACATCTTCCTTTTTTAACACGGTAGATGGTAAAACAGGATTAAAATCTTTTAATTTTTTTTTTTGTTTCTATTAGTTTATAGAACTTTTATGTTATTTATGCAGCAGAACTTTTTGACCCCATGCGGGACATTAATGTGAAAGTTGTTTGTGATGATTTGTACGTCCCTCGTTACAGAACGTTTGGTTTGTTTTCTGGGATGAGGTGAGAAGGTAGAGAAACTGATGGGTTCTGTTGGTTCTGTCCAGGCAGAGAAGCACCACCCGGCGCTGGTGAAGGTTCTGTGTTCAGAACTCAAAGTCGAGCCCGAAGTTCTGCTGGACTTTGAGCTGTGTTTGGCCGACACGCAGCCGGCGGTGAGTCTACAGACACTGGAGCCTAATTGCACACGGACGTCTGTTTATATGAAAGTACACGCATACTGTAGTACTTTATTACTACAATACAACATAGTATTATAGTGCTATAGTATTATAGTGCTATAATACTATAGTACTTTATTACTAGAATACAATATAGTATTAAAGTGCTATAGTATTATAGTACTTTAGTATTATAGTGCTATAGTATTATAGAGCTATAATACTATAG